ATATGGTATAAAAATGAAGAGTTTCGCTATTGTAGTTTTCACACAATAAAACTATAGTCGGCCCCCTTAAATTATAATTTTTACACAACCGAAGACTTGGAGAATTTTTTCAAATGTAAGTTGAATTAATAATAAGGGACTAAACTTTCAAAATATATCAAATAAATATGATTTTTTAAACAAAATAGAACTATGTTAACTTTTTAACGCTTCCTATCAAAGTGCAGATTTGAGCCAAAAATCCATTAAAAGTATTTTTTCTCTCTTAGTAAACGATCAAAACTTTTTGATTTTGTATCATTCTGTACATTTATAAGACTACTTTATTATATGTGAAAATAAGAAAAAGTTAAAAATAGGAAGGATATGTAAATAGCTAATATATCCTAAAAAATTAAGAAAAACAGAGAAAATTCGGATTAGCCAATATCCAGTGTAGTTAAATTATTTATGTTTATTTGGTAATATCATGCTATAGACCCAATATAGTAATATCTTTTTATGCAAAAAGAACAATCTTTAAACTTTTGAAATAGTAGTAGGCATCACATGATTGGCAATAACAGTATTTTTTTTATTCTTAATGTCAAGGAAAAAGATAATGACCTTGACCTAACCCTGCCTCTAGATAAAACAGTCAATTTAATCTCACTGATACTATCACTTACTGATATTGTCTTCTTGGTTCTGTGAAAATTTCACTAATTTTTAAATGATACAAGAAATATGAGAAGAATCCTACCTTAAATAGAAATTGGTTACCTGAGCGACCCAGATGACCTAATAACGAATCATTTGTGAATATTTTATATTGCCGTCAAATCAGATAAAAACGTGGTTTCCTTAATCATAAATCGGCAAATATCAAATCAGGTTTAATTCTCATATCAGACAGACAAGGGCAGTCTAAGGTTTTAATATATTCTTAAATCAAACTTATTTTTTAAATCGAAATAAATTTCAAATGCTGAAAAGCCCAATTTATGAAAATCTAGGGATAAATAAGTTGTAATTATATACTTCAGAATGTCATCAGCATACTACAATCTGATTTAAATCGAGATATTGTTAAAAGCTGAGAGAGACTGCTTTATGCACAGTCAACTATGCAGGTACTGTTTTGTCCTGAACTTCTATATCATTCAATGCTAAGTGTCCTAGCTACATGTTGACACAACGTAAATAGTTTATTACAGGTACCTGCTGAGATATGTCATATCTGCAGGTGCGACTGGATCCTAAATTCGATATATCTGTTGCTCCTACATGTACATAATGTTTGCGGGGTAGAACATGAAATGTAAATCAATCCAAACGGCTGGCACCTGGTGAGACGTTAACCAATTATTATTGCTTTTCATAAAATCTAAAAACTTTATCAAAGGCCGATCTTCTCAGTAGGGTTAACTACTTCCACGCTGGAATAGAGCAGCCGCCATGACTTAATTACAGTCTAAGACTCTTCTTACGTTCTGAATTAGAATATACATGTACCTGGACTTTCAGACTATAGATTGCAATCAACTTAATATGTGTATGATACTTAATTGATTTAAACTATCTCTTAAGAAGTTTAGCTCACCTGGACTTTGGTTTGTATATGCATGTAATTTATGTCTTCAGTTTATTGGTAATGAGTCTGCTGAAGGTCGGAAATGGCACAAAAGTCGCCAATAAAGTCACACACGCACACGCCCAGCCTCACACACACATATGGTGAATGAAATTCATTACTTCATGCAAATTTTAAATACTTTTCTTAAAATTAAATACAGGATAAATGACTGCATATGAATTAAAAGAAATAAATCTGATATCCTCCAAACTAGATCGACACATTTGAATTATATCTTGCAAGTTAGCTTAGTATTTCACTTAACAAGTGATATTACATATTTCAAGATTTGTCAACTTGCACTTAGTTTACTTTATCACGAAAAGTCTTGGTAACCCATCTCGGCTTGATGTTACAATACTATCTCGACAAGTGTTAATTGTATTGACCCCAAAACAGTGTGATACCGATAACTTATAGTCAAGATAGCCATAAATAGCTTTATTCAAATAATGACACTTTTGCAAGTGTTTGTTCATTACATACAGAAATGCTCTTTTTTACAAAAAAGGTAAAACAAAGGCTCAGAAGTATTGGGTCGTTGGGGTCAAAGGTTATAAATAAGGCTTTCTTTCTTTAAGGTCAAGGTCAAACGACGCGATGCACATCAATATATATTTTTCCCTAAAATTGTTCGATTGGAGGATTGCAACTGTAAGTTTTAAGTTTCCAAACCTTTTCCTAAACAAAAAAGTTGAGGTGCTTATTCCACAGACATTTATGGATGATTCCAATGGATGACATTTCTAAAGTACAGTCCAGTCATATTGGAAAATTTATATAACCTGGATTGCTAAAATAACATTTTCGGACATTTTGAAAACAATTGAGAAATCAACATCGCCATTTGTTTGTATATATTACAAAGAAATACAAAACAAATTCTATGAAAATTTTATCAACTCACCGGTCTTTAAATTACAAACAATTACAATCATCTCTTTAATTAATATATTTTAAAATGATAGATCTAATACACTTTGTTTTTCCTAGATACATCAGGTATCATTCCTAATGTATCTGTAAAAAGCCATTTTTTGTTTGATAAACGTATAAAGAATCCGGTAGAAACGAGATTTTTTCCCTTTATCTTTTTTTTTTTCTTGATTTTTCATTTTTTTTAAACAACTCTTAAGAACAGTCACTTGCTATCTCCCACCTTGTCTACACATTGCAAGACTAGTCGCCAGAATTATCTCAACAGCCACATAAATTTGAGCCAGCCAACTCAAGTCAATAAAAGTGACAATCTCAACTGCTAGAGTCTTTTCAAAGGTTTAATTAATTAACCTTTACTGCCATCAACATCTACATTTTTTTCAAGGTGTTTCAGGATTTCTGTATTAGACTAAAAGTCTTGGCGAGATAAAGATTTGTACACTGACCAAAAGCTTCATATGGGTTCTAGACAACTATTCGCTGTCAGACCAAATGCTATATACCGTAGATTTCAGGTGAGTTGGCGATATATTCACATATGTACACTGACCAAAAGCCCAGATATATTTATAGAAATAACTGTATATGGGTATGGCGTCTTGGCATGATACCTCGTTTACTTGACCAAAATCTTATTGTATTGAAGATTCAATGTCAGTTTGATCCAAACGACTGTGAACGATTTTAAAAAAATTAAATTAAAGGTAATAATTAAGAGGCCCATAGGCCACATCGCTCACCTTAGCAACTTTGGCTATGTTTTTCTTAAGCAGATACTCCCCTTGTAATACCTATTGTGACCCTAACCTACCAAAAGGGTCAAGATTTGACATTTTAGAATCTACACTACCCCAGGATGCTTCCACATAAGTTTTACCTTTTCTAGCCCAGTTGTTCTTAAGAAGAAGAATTTTAAATGCACGATTTTCCCTATTTATTTCAATGTAAAACTTGGATTCTCTATTGCAGCCCCACCCTACCCCTGGGGGTTCTGATTTAAATGATTTAGAATGTACACTACTCCAGGATGTTTTCATATACGTTTCAGCTTTTCTGGCCCAGTGGTTCTTGATAAGAAGATGTTTTATGACCTCACCCTATTTTTGTCTTTTCTTGATTATCTCCCCTTGCAAGGAATCTTAGCCCTTCATTTTTAGCCGGGCTTATTGCTCAAAGAGCAATTGCCGGCTTATGTGATCCTGTTCAAGGCAGGATGTTGACCCCATAGTCGCCATTTTAAAGTTACGTGCAAAAATATAGTTCTTACTTTCAACCGCTTTTGAGATAATACAAACGCTAAATAAAGCAACAAAAATAAAACGAAGTTATATATATATAAACATTAGTAGTAATGACTTTGAAAACTTCTAAGTCAAAGAACATAGTTCATTAGCGTAAGGATTTTTGATAATCAGTGTTACCGTAGTTCTCTACACATACGAGGTAAAGCAGGAGAGGGAACCAGACTGGCCTGTTTGTTTACATTCAGCTGCTCCAGATTAATTCTGATTCTGACAAAATCGGACCGTGGTATTAGGGAAAAACTCACTGTCAGTGTCCATTTATATTGATAGTTTTAAAATAATTTTTTCATCAGAATATAAACGTGATTCATGTAAGAAATCCATTTTTACAATTTAAAGTCCCTTCACCCATGGATGCGCTGTACCAAGTGTGGTTAAAACTGGCCCAGTGGTTCTTGAGAAGAAGTTGAAAATGTGAAAAGTTTACAGACAGACAGAAACACAGAGTGACAGACATACAGACAACATGTGATCCGAAAAGCTCACTTGAGCTTTCAGCTCAGATGAGCCAAAAACTGTACAAGTCTGAGCAATATTGAGTGAAAAACTTCATCTAACCCCTTTAGATATGTATTTTAAAATGCAATGGCCTCCTGAAGCAAATGTTATTTTTTTAGTGACACCATATGTGCAAAGAAGCAAAATATTATATCTCGTCCATTAGGCTGATTTAATGTATTAAATAATTATTGAAATAATTAAATTATGAATTGTTTGAAAGTTTTTATATTCAATAGAAAAATATTAAAATAGTCTTTAAAATATTTTTGACATACACGTCAATTTTTATTAGCGTACGATGAAAAGAAAGGGCTGCCCCCCCCCCCTTTTCCCCAACATTACCTTTACTATTGAAAATGTTCATTGAAAGGTTAGTTGCCCCCCCCCCCCCATTTTTTACCACATTAAAGTGATATCAAGGAAATGTAGTATTGTATGCAAGAAAAAATGGAAGTGAAAGAAAGTTGGCATTGAAACAAATTGGCCTCACCCCCCCCCCCCCCCTCTTTTGCTTGTCAACTTTTACAGGCAAGTAAAGAAATAATTCTCTGGCTGCCCCCCCCCCCTTTTCAAAAACGATGCTACGTGCCTGATTCTTTATATAAAATATGTTGCATTAAAGCCATCAACTACTTCAAAGTTTACTCATTATAATACTGAAAATGTAAAAATATATATATTTATATCAAAAACAACTTTAACAGGCAACACACGAATAAACTGTATATAAAATCCAAAAACAACAAGTTTAAAATCTTGAGGTATTTGTTTGAGACAAAACTCCTTAATTAATGCTTTGATTTAGCTGCTCATCCCCAGTCTTTAGTATGTGTCAATCTACACGTACAGGCCACCGGGTATTGTTCATAGACTACTGTATACACTTTATTTCTTCTTCTTCCTCTTCGTTTTCGTTTCCCTCGTCTTCTGCGGTCTTTTTCGGGTTTCTCAGGTTTACACTCTCTAAGAACCTGACGATACATCATCACTTCTTGACACACTCCGTCAGGATGCAATTTTAACGTATTATCGTAATGTTTCGTGATACAATTATCACAGTTACACTTGACTTGAGCTATGGATCGAGGTATTCTATACTTATCGTAGTTTATCTGAACATGATGGGGACAACTTTCCGTGCTCCGTCCGTCATTTGGAGGAGTCAGAGAACAGGTCTTATCGCCATAGAGATAATGAACTTTAGTATCCGTTAAGTTTTCACACTTGCTACAGTTGTCAGGGATGTTTATACCGGGTATCATGTAGAAAGACGTGTCCAGATTTTCATTACAAGATCCTAGAATAGTCATCTTTCTTCGATATCCTTTAACTTTTGCTCTGATTGGGTCGGAGCATTGAGACATGGAAAGATCCACAAACACAGTACCGAGAATTAATAGCGGTGGAATCTAAAATAAAAAAATAAAAATAAAACTTTGTATCATTTAAAAACATGGGAAAATAGTAACGTTTTACTGTAATAATAACGCTACGAAAGCCCAATGAGCTCATTTTCATAGGTAAAAAAAATACAAATTTTTGGCGTTATAACGCGAAACTTTCGCGAATAAACGCGTAACTTTCGCGAATTAACGCGAAACTTTCACGATATAACGCGTAACTTTCGCGAATTAACGCGTAACTTTCGCGAATAAACGCGTAACTTTCGCTTTCGCGTCTGATTAGTCATCAGAATATTAATTTTATTTTAAAACCTTACTATTGAATTAATAAAATGAATTTTACTTTCTTGTACATGTTTTTCAATTGTTAAATTCTTTAGGCTGATTATTTCTTAATGAAAATCTCCACTTGACATTTTTTTCTAGCTGTTTTTTAATCAGTAACATTTACTAAAACTTTACCACTAGTAAATTAAGCAATCAATCATTTTGGAATGACAACGTGGTGCAACCTCAAAATAGGATATCGAATTTCCACAGTGAATCCAACGGAGACAGATGAAAATCTGCTATCCAATTTTCACAAATGCGGTGGGACACAATTGAAAAATTTACCTCATTTTGTCAATTTTCTGAGATCTTCATCTCTATAAAATAAGATTATTTCAAATTCTCTAGAGATTGCATAAAAAAACCGGAAAGGGGTGATTTTCCCCGAAATTAATAATCTTGAAGTTTAACTTTTGGACATTCGCATAAACTTTGAATTGTTTGAACAACGTTGAGAAAGACAAATTGTGACGGTAAAGATGGATTCAATAGCAAGAAAGCTTAAAATTTAACTTGACTGTGATAGTCCAAGATTAAAATAGCCTTTTGCTTATCATTGTAATGAATAAAATTGATGACAAAATCAGAACAACGTTGAGACTAAAGCAAATGTCTGGTTAAACAGCAAAGGTCTCGCGTTATAACGCGAAAGTTTCGCGTTTATTCGCGAAAGTTTCGTGTTTATTCGCTAAAGTTTCGCGTTATAACTTTATATTTTTCTTTCTTTCCTACGAAAATGAGCTCATTGGGCTTTCCTATAACGCCATCTCCTTTTTGCAATTCTCAAAAAAAAAAAAAAAAAAAAAAAATCCGAGTGGCATACATTTTTGCCGCTTAAGCTGATTATGAACAGAAATATGTCTTCCACATGGAATTGAACTGAGTGAACTGAGAGGTCACAAGATAAGATAAAATGCGTGACAGGCTGAGTCGAAATATTGATGAATTTAATAAATGCACAAGTTTCTCAAGTTAAAAAAAAATATTTAAAAAATAAGATAATCTAAGAATTTTCAGGGGAAAATATAAAATCTGAAAATAAAGCGATTAGAATTCGATATACTTTTCTTTTTTTTTTCAATTAAAAAAAGTCTTCTGGGGTAAGAAAAATTGCAATGCTACAAAATCGATTTTCGAGGCATCTTTACAGAATATGTCAGTTATGAGATTTAAATGTTTTGCATGATTTATTAAGTATGAGCATATTCAAAAACTTACGTATGCATTTATCATCTCTTTGCCATGTGATATTTCCAAGGCTATAATTTCAAGAGAATAAAAACACTTTTAGATATTTTCCTATGTAATTCTCACATTTCCTCATTGTTTTTGTTTCACAGATTAATAATGCAGATTTCGGACCTGAACTAATGCGGCGGTTTCCCATACTGGTGCGGTAATATTCCAGGTATAGTGATTTTAACTTCCTGGTATAGAACTCTATTTTCTCAATGGAAAAAAATTTCAACAACAGAGTCATTCATACCCGACCTAAAGTGCGCATTTATTATGCAGGTAATTCACAAGGTGCTATATTACTTAGGAATCTTCGTTATTTTTTCCCACTTTACTGTTATTACTTCTAGTCTGGATTTTGAGCCTAATTGGTTTCTAAATTTCTAGCTCACCTGAGCCAATTAAGGTATATAGGTCAATTTATCAACCCGACTTTTATCAAAGGGAGTTAATCAAGAAGCCAAGGAATCGTTATCATAGGCGTTGTGATGAATTCCATCTCTGAATAGTAACAAATAATTTTACCGTATGATCATTTTTTAAGGATCAGATGAGTCTATGATTTTTTTACGAACTCATAAAAATGAATCGTCATCATTTTATGTTACCTAGAAATGGACGTGTTTTTAATTAAAAGGTGACCCCTGTTCCTGCGCAGATCACTCGTGTAAATACGATGTATCTCCATTGTAATTTTTGACTAGGTATGGATGAAAGCAAGATTAAAGGTGTATAATAATATTGCAGATACATATTATTATATTAAAAAAAGCTACTTTATAAATGTGTCCGCCAAATATCTTGTTTGATGACATTTTTAAGTACCTACGTAAACTGCAATGTGCCCCGACTCTCACTGAAACTGCGTCCCACGGGCCTGTTAAGTATTAGAGGATGGGTTACTTGCACACATGGACCGGATCAAGTGTGGTCCCCCGCACATCTTTTTCAGTTTTTTAACTGATACAACGTGAGGTCACTAATTTTCGTGGAACATTTATTTTCAAACTTTGAAGAGACCCAGGAACTCCTGTCAAGCATGAAAAGTAAAATATATTTAGAACAACTCAGTCCTTGTTCATTCATGAGACACTCGAGCCCATAAATCTTTTCCTCAAACCACGAACATTTGATCCCACCAAAATTCATGATTTCAGAGTTGTAAAGACGGTGACAAATCAAAAACCTAAGGCACCAATCTCACATTTAGGAAACTATTGGAAATGTTCATTGAAAGGCTGGTTGCCCCCCCCCCCCCCACTTTATAGTACACTAAGTTAATATCATGGAAAATGTAGTATAAAAAGCAGGAAAATTGGTACCGGAAGAAGTTGGCATTGAAAAAAGCCCCCCCCCCCCCCCCCCCCCGAAATAAAATTTTCGAGTTTGGGCAATTTCCCTTTTTTTTGCTTGTCAATTTTTTTCAGGTAACTTTTTCTTGTAAGTCAAAAAATTTTTTTCTCTGGGCTGCCCCCCTTTCAAAAACGATGCTACGTGGCTGAAACACCCCTACCCTACCCTACTTTTCTGGAAAATTTTCGACAATTGCGCTGCGTGACTTGGAAAATTTGATTTCATCGCTGCAAAATCGAAAATAAGTTATTTTATAAGACCTTTTAAATTGGAATTTTAGTTATAAATACAATACACATACATTATTTTCTTTTGAAATCTCTAAGAGTTCAAGAACAAGACGCGCAGCGAGCTTCGTAGTCCACAACCTTGCTTGAATATCTTACCACAATAATTTCAATTTTACATATAGAGCACACTTATCATGCAACACTTTTCAGCGATTGCGTTTGAATCCCATTTTCTCCACGTCTTTTACAATTCTTTCTGACTGATTTAAAACCCAATCTGGAGACTGAATGTTTAACCCATTCATGGAGAAAATATGATTATCAAGTCTCAATAATTGACCCATTTTTCGACCGAGGGTATATATCTTAAAAAGGAAAATAAATTTTTATGCAACTGTAAATTGAACATATTAAACAATGGGAGGAAATGATCTGCAAGATTATCACAGACATCGGAAATATATCAAACATGGCACAAATGTAGATTTGATAAAATTCGTCATCGTTTTCAATTGTAATTTCCAGCAAAGAAGACTGAGTACGTAATACATACGTAGGTTGTTTTCCCCGTTATACTTGAAGAACAAGAGAGAACTACAGAGCTAAACTACGGTCTATATACTGGCAAGTAAACCCTTTAATGAAATGTATTGCAACGTTTTTGTGTTCAAAATCCTATCTATTCAGATGGACAACAATGGTACATTTGTTTTTTACAGTTCTTGTTAGCCGAAGATGAACCTAGGTGCACAGCGGGTGTATACACATAAGTTGATAAACAATCCTTAACTTTTTCCAAATTTGTGCGATAAATCTGAAAACAATGATTGATAAAACACTTTTTGATATTCAACTTAAAAAACAAGATAGGCGAGGTTTTCCTGTGATTTAAGATTGTATAAAGCTTGTTAAATATCATGTTTTATTTAAAAACTTTTCACTCAGACAACAAGGACGGATTAATAATTTTACGAGTTAGGGCCTGTATAGGTGTACAAAGGAGTAAAATATTTTAAAATAAATAGCTAAATTAAATTCAGTTGAAACATAAGGAGATAACGAACAGTATTCAAGATCAAAACATAAAACAATACAAAATAGGAGCAGAGCAAACACGGACCTCCAAAACATTGGAGGTGGGATCAGGTGCCATGGAGGAGTGAGCATCCCCTGCCGACCAGTCACACCCGCCGTGAGATAACTACTTCTGATGGGTTACCAATTATTAAAGTATCGATCTTTTTCAAATATTTATTGTAAGAGTTTGTTTTTTGGAAAAATCCGTTGTTTAAGTTTAGGGACTAGGAAGAGTTCATTTTTGGGAATGGTCTGTTTTTCAAAGTTTAAGGATCAGGAAGAGTTTATTTTCTGGAATAGTCCTGGGTCATAGTTTAGGGACTAGGAAGAGTTTATTTTCTGGAATAGTTGGTCATTTTCTGGAATAGTCCGTTGTTCAATGCTAAGGGACTAGGAGGAGTTTATTTTTCTGGAATAGTTGGTTATTTTCTGGAATAGTCCGTTGTTCAAAGTTAAGAAACTAGGAGGAGTTTATTTTTCAGGAAAAGGCCGTTGCTTAAAGAAGATATTATTTTCGGGATAGTCCTGGGAGATGGGAAGGCTGGGGATGGTGAGTCTCAATTCAAGCTGCCAAAGGAAACATCAAAGTTTTGTTGTCCGGAACATCAGAATCCAGTATTAAACCTAGTTCACAAGCACACACTTTCCGAAGTTCTACTTGTAGTATATGTTTTTTTTTGTTGATATACTTGCAGTCAAAACATGACCTTTACTGCATCGGAGATATGCAAGATAATCTATTTATGAACATGTTTTCTTCTCTCTAAATTAAATGCACAA